TCCGACTATTATAAGGCCCTTGCACCCATTCAAATATCTTTCGAGCCATTCCAATGGTTCGAAATGAGTTTTTTCCCTTGTCCACACCCACACAGCCACACTCACACCTACCCCCACCGACATTCCACATCGACACCCAAGACCCACATCCACACTCCAAGACAAATAGAGAAAAAATCTCATAAAATGTTTATCGCTGCTGTTAAATCAATAATTTTCATATTACGATTATTATCCGTCAATGAATGAATCTATTGGTCGGTCCTAGAAAAAAAAGACAAGTGAGACTGATTAACGAATGTCCATAATATACGATGACAACGATCTCTAAAAAGGAAAGAGAAAAGAATTTCATTGAAAAAGTGTTTTGTTTTTGAGAAAAAATCTGTTCGAAGGAATGATGAATATATATACTTTGTTTGTCCGCCAACTAACACTGATAACAGCCTACCAGTATAAATACGTGTGTACTTTGATAGAGCAAACGACATGCTATTACACATCACCAGAATGGTCATTGGGTTTCTGACAGGATGTGGGTGTGGGTGTCAGCATAGATAAAGAAATGACTTGTACTTCCACACCAAACCTTACTCAGATCTTTAGAAAAACGAGATTTATTGTGTAGGTGAGACTTTTGTCTTTCCGCATGGCATCTACAAATATAGCATGTAACATTTTTCGCCACCGTTTGGCATGTCCAGAAGAGACAAAAGCGATGAACATCAGCTCAGTTTTGCGTGTGGGTGTAGGTGTGCATGTGTGTAACAATCCACGAGAATACCTTTTATGTCCTTACGTTTCTGTTATTGTTGTCATGCCCTTCGGATTTGTCCTTGTGTGTCCTTCAAATATTGTATCACACTTGATTGTATCCTTGCTTGTCTGTCCTCTCTTCACAATGCGTATATAAGCACATGCTTTCTATGCAAGCAGTGCGATTCATGATATGAAGGAACGAAATAAAGTGTAACTCCATCCACACTAACATCCCTTCTATCAGAAATCGTCACAATGTGCATGTGGATGGGTGGGCATGGGCGCGGGTGGGTGTGATTGTGGGGTGTGGGTGTAGATGTAGGGTGTCGGTGTTGGTAGAGGTGTAGGTAAAGGTGCAGGTGCAGGTGTTGATGTTGGTGTGTGTCTCTTCATCATTCACACTCACATCCACCTACACTCACTCACACCCACCCCCAAAATGATTATCAAGAGCTCAGGAAAGTTTTTCAAAGGTTTTGTAGAAAACCTACGAATCCTCAAAAAGGTTTCAATTTCGTTACAAAGTTCGAAACCTTTTCAAGTTTCGTATCATGTGCGAAACTCTTTTTAGGTTTCGTACTCGTGTTTGAAACTTTCTTCAAGTTTCGTAGCGACGACGAAAATATTTTTGGTTCCGTATGGTGCCTTATGTTTTTTTTCAGAGTACACCAGCACCAACACTCAGACACTACGCTGACATACGACACCATCCACACCCACACCCTTCTCGGTTTTGTTGAAAAACAACTATTGTTACATGGCGACACGTATAACTGGTCACAAGCACATGTTGATTATATTCGATAAGGACTGTTCGTCAACGTTAACGATTGTTTAAGACGAAGTGTGATACAGAGCGATGATCCTTTCTTAAGCCATTTACAGTTGACGCATACGATATCGTGCGATATTATCCGACAAGCCTATACAACCGCCGTGTTGTTACGATGGGCGTTAACGGCGAATTTTACAGTCATTGTAAACAATGACCGTAATTCATTGTAAAGCATCGTTTACAACTGCTGTATATGGCTGACGTAAACAGCTGCTATTATCCACCGTAATGGGTTGGTATACGGTCGTGTACGACCGAGCATGATTGATCTAGAATATTTTTCATTGCGTCTTTCTTTTGGTTGTCTCTGTTGATAATTCACATTGATAACGGAGATTGCTCCATTCGCTTTTTTTCGCTGTCTATTTAGTTACTCTTGAAATGAAACCAAGCGGTGCGGACTCAACAAGCATCTGTCAATATCAACTTTTAGTCTAACTTTCCGAGTGTCATTTAAATGGGAAATTGGTTTCTACCGTACAGCAGCCAGCATTCCATGTCGCATGATCCTGCCGTGTCTCATGTTGAATCTCCTATTCTAGCGCCATGTTATACTCGTTCGTCTTTGCTGCGACCAGAACGCTTTTGCCATACTGCGCTTGAGCGACATGATCTAACGGTTCTGGACACAGAAGATTTTCGCTATCGTGCAAAACCCGTCCGTAGTGTGCCGATGGCAAAGAAATTATATATTACTGGTAACGCTACAGGTATCTTAAAGGGAAAAGAACCGATCCCCTTGTGCGAAAAAAGTGGACGATGAACTGCCTCTCAGTATTCATCTTTTGTCAGTGCTGAAGGTTTTATGTCGCTTGTGGACCAAGCGGCAAATGAAATTGTCTCGATTGGCAAAGAGAAAATGTACAAAAACGATGCACATACGATGAGTACTAGACCACTTGAAATGAAAAAGTATGGTAAAATAGCGATACTCGAACATTGCATTAAGCTTTACACTCAGTCATTATTTTTATTCCAAGTATTACATCGAGATTTACGCGACCACTACGGTTTGGCTGCTGAAAACTTATACCATTACGAGCAATTGCTTAACCTATACATCGTCTGTTATGGTAAACCGTATACCGGAAGGGTTTACAGAGGAGCTATGTTGAATGATGAGAAATTGAAGTTACATTCAACGAGAGATTACGATAGTGCGTGGTACTCTAACACTTATTTATCAACAAGCAAATCCCGACAAGTGGCAGAGATGTTCGGAAATACTCTAATAATAATTGATATTGAAAGAGTGTCATACAACTCCGGTATAGCAGTCGATATTTCTGAGTTATCGAGTATTCCAGATGAAGAAGAAGTAATACTTACACCGGCATATATGCTTTGTAAAGTTCGACAACCGAAATTCGATCCAAATCTAAAAAAACTTATCGTATACCTAAGCTCAAAGCTTTTCACTGTCGATATGTCTATTGTCGAAGATATGTACGTTCATCACAAAGCTTTCGGTAAAAGATGCCCTAGTAGTTATGTTTAAAAAACTGGGGAAGATGATGACACTATGGACGTCGAGTTTTAGTCTATAGAGAGTTGGACTAATTTGTTAGTTATTGCATTCTTGTTCGGCCTATAGAACACCAAATTGTCAAGACAGACATGGAGGTGAGGGTAGAGTCTCAGGGAACGGAGGGCGTATGGGTGTGGGTGCCGTGTCTTCTCATTTGCGAGCATAAACTCAAACTTCAAAATCTGTTAAATTGAGTTTCGTTTGCTTCTTCGATGTAACCTATTCAAATAGAACACAATCTCAAGTCTCAAATTGTCATTGCTTAAATTTTTGAAAAAATTTACTCATAACAATTTTAATAAAATCTATACCTTCAGTTTTGCTTTTAACGAGCTGCAATTTATAGAGTTCGCCAGACATAATTGTTATTATGAATGTCATGAGCCTTTTTTTAATTTTAACACCGTGTAATAGTCATTATAACATGGAATCTAATACGGAATGGAGACAAACCAATTGAAGCGCAAAGCGTTTATGTACAAAAATAAAAATACAGAAAATGACATTCAAAAAGATATGGATTTGAATATTTGATATTGAAGAACAGCTTCTCTTCACGAACATATCCCCATTTATTCACGTTACACACGCAATAAAAATTCAATTGCCACGATAAATTACGATAAAACCTCTTTGACACCTCCCTTGGACTTACATTAAAATTTTTCTTAGTTAAGCCCAAATCCACGACCCTTGCTCGTACATTAATAATATAAGTTTAACAATGATTATTAATAATACACAAGCCAATATCAGTTTTGAGTTCCATTGAATTTTTTCTTAGCTGAGCGTAGATCAATGACGCTTGCTCATACATTATGACTGTCCACAAACTGCAGCAGCTCTACTAAGTTGAAAAACTTTTTTCAAACAACAACTTGCGTCCTCTACAAATTACAGTAGGTGTGGGTATGGATGCGTGGGCGTAAGGTGTGGGGTGTGGGCGAACAGGGGAAAAAGTGGATCCTGGATTTCCGGACCCCAATGCATCCTGGTGGATTCTCTTGGATTCTGGTGGATCTTAATGGATTCTAAGGAATTGTAGAACAAATCATTTGAACTGTGCCGAAGAAACAAGTGAAAGAAACTGATGCTTATGGATGAGAATTATTTAGTATTCTATGCAATTAAAGGAAAAGGGGTAAAGTATCTTCAGATTTTGTGACTAACAACTCAGGATGATGATTACGACCGCTGTAACGACTAAAAACAACAACATACACTGTCGTTTCATCTAGTTTACGATCGTAAATAGACGTCAATTAACGTTTTGGTAGCAACAGTATTACGATCTTTTTTTATCGCATGGTACATGTTTATTAGCGGTCGTATAACAACGTGAAAATCGAGTATTTGATTATTTGTGATCATTTACGATACGATGAAATATGGCCGTAATAATGTTGCTACCAAATGGGCAAAAAAACTCTGAAATGGTCGTTTACGACCTGAGTTGTTTGATCTGGCAATGGAATCTCAATAAAAATACATTCCATTTCAGTTCATATTGTGTCCATAAATAGAGCTTGTAGCGTAGATAAAAGCCGTAGAAAGATTTCTCACGTTAGGCATTTTTGTCGGAGCAATGGAATCACTTTTTATTATCCGACTCGATGTCAAAAAAAAAAACAATGCTCATGAGTATGAAAGTGGGTCTCCCCGCAAAAGGAGTTCTTTTTTAAGCGATTAAATCGTTTCAAAGATCGAGTCCATGCGATATGATTCATATCTTATTAGAGTTATCGATCAAACACTTATTCTGTTACATTTTTAAACAAAATATAAATGAAAATATGAAATTTGTACAACAGCTAAAGGTATATATAGTTCTTGAATATTTTTCTGCTTCATCGATACGTCTTAGCCATTGTCGCTTCCTTAGTCACCTCCACACCCTCCTCCACCACAGCCTCCGCCACCACAGCCTCCACCTCCTCCACCACCACCACAACCTCCACCTCCACCACCACAACCTCCACCACCATCGCAGCCTCCACCTCCTCCGCCACCACAGCTTCCACCTCCTCCGGCATCACAGCCTCCACCGCCACAACCCGATCCGCAACCACCTCCCATCGCTCCACATGAAGATGCCCCGCTACCACTCGAAATGAAAACCGGCACGAAGACCAACGCACATGAACTCATGTATTGTGATGTTTCTACAGTTTTTCGATCAATTGTATAGCCATATTTTGATTTATAAGTTTTTTCCCATCGTTCAGCAGTTTTCTCATAGGCATTGTTCAGATTATTTGACTCAATATCATCATTATGATCAACAATAAAACCACATAAAGCTATTGAAACAGTTTGATACTGTGATGGATATCTCATATGTGTATGCCAGATCACATCGATGTCAAAAGTCGGTACAATCATTTCGTTTTTTTGTGCCAATTTCATAAATGATATATAATTTTGTACTAAATTTTCGAATTGTGAACGAAGAAACTTTTTCAAATCGAGTGAATACAGATAATGTTTTTGAAATTTTTCAAGAAAATCACGTTGACGGATGACGGCTTTTCTCAAATCGATTGTTGGAACGAAAAAGAATCGATTTGTTATGGACGGAAATGACAACTTTGAATCTTGATTGCTTTTATGCTTATGAAGAAGTTGACGCACTTTTTTATCGACGATTTGTTCGTTTAAAAGTTGTTTAGTACAATCAGCCTGATAGTTTAAAGGATGAAGACGATGAACATGCCAAATCCATTCAGTTTGCCATGGCAGTTTCATTTGTTGATCTCTAGTCTGCATTTCTTGTCGTGCCATTCGATTACAATAATCATTCACAAAATAATCCAATAGAGGTCCTTCTTGTGTTATTTCTGGATGAGCAATCACTTTGCGAAGTAACAAGATATGATCAACCAAGTCATGATACGAGATTCGAAATTTTTCTCCGTTCTTCGTTCGAATTCTTGCGTCGTAATTCGGGATTGAGCGTGATGATGAACTACCCATTTTCTTATCAATGTTGATGTTCAATTATAATGACGTACCTGCAAAATATGAAATTCATAGATCTCATAAAATATTATAATTAATCATGGGAAACCATCATATGACACACTTGATAACGGCGTCAGCAAGTTATTTTCTGTTCTTTGAAATAAAGAGTACAAGATGCTTGACAGAAGGCTACTTCTCATTTGCAAACATAAAGAAAATAAATTATAAGTAAATTAAAATTTTTAAAAGTTCGTTTGATTTAAATTTGATAACTTTATTCATTTTTCGTAAAATGATTAAAATTTATATTTAACTTTTAAAAATTTGATTACTGTGAGCGAATATTAAAAGTAAATTGTTTTAAAAGATTTTTAAAAAAGCTACTTTTTTTACTAAGCACACTGCAATTTGTAGAGGACGTTAGTTTTTTGACAATAGAAGGTTTTTAAGCTTCAGATAGTTACTGCAATTTGTAGAGGACGCAAGTTTTTGATCAGAGAAATTTTTTTTTGAATTTAGTACCATAGCTGTAATTTGTAGAGGACGTTAGGTTTTGGTTGAATTATGATTTTCGTTTGGACCTGGCTGCGAAGAATTTTAATTGAAGTCAAAAGTAGAATGTACTAGCTGGTTTGTTTTTCTTTTGTTATTGATAAACTAACACTTAAAATGCACGAGCAAGGATGGTCGATTTGGGTTGAACTAAGAACGATTTTAGTTAAAGACAAAGCGAGTTTTTAAGGAGATTGTA